CATAGTTGGCTGGACACCTGGGGCCTGGGCAGCAGCCTCCCCACCCGCCAGCCTCTCCAGCTGCAAATGGCTGCGTGATGCCGGCTCTCCAATGAGCGCCCGGCCCTCCAGAAAAACGAACTCTTTAAAAGAGGGGAGGAGCCCAGCTGGTTGGCAAATAACATTCCGAAGTCCAGGGGGTGAGAACTTCCACAGAACCTTTGGGGGAACACAGTCCAACCCACAGCGCAGAGGCCAGATGTGAGGAGCTGGAGGCTCCGCGAGAGGCAGGGAGGTCCCCCAAGACCCCTGAGTTCATGACAGTCGGCACTGGCACCCACACTCCTGACACCCTCCCTGCCCTGGTCCAGCCGCCTCCACTGCCCGCACTGCCCGCACTGCCCACTGAAATGGCCAGAATTTGGGCCAAGCTGGTTGCCCTGGATGCTGGCCCTCCCGGTGCACGGCTCCAGTCCTCAGCCAGGGCCTCTGGGAGACTGTCGGGGAACCAAGTCCCCAGTTCTGGGACTCATTCGTCAGCATGCACCCCCTTTCCGCAAGGTAGAGTCATTTCAGCGGAGGTCCGCCCAACCCCTGCTGAGCTGGATGCCACGGCTTCAAAGGGCTGCCCGGTGCTTGCTGACTCTCGGGGCGGGGGGCGGTATTGCTGTGGGAAGCACACCCCTCAGGCCCCAGTTCTGCTGCCCAGCAGGGGGCAGGCCTCCTGGGCCCAGGGCGGACAGGAGAAGGGAGGGAGAGGACTTCAGAGGAGAGGCCGCCTCACCCGCCGGCCACAGGGATGCTCTGGGGTCAGAGGGTTTTCGGGTGCGGCCTCCGACTCAGCTTCCCAATGTTCTGGCCACAGGAGCCCACGGTGAGCCCCGAGGTCCACGGAGAAGCGTGAGGAAGGACTGCTCACCGGGGCGGGCAGACAGCACCTCCAGCACTTCCCACACACGGAAGTGACCTTGTGCATGTCCTGGTTATACTGCATCTTCTAAGACAGTTATTAGCAGAAACACAGACAGACACGCATGTACCGGTGCACCCGTGGCCCGTGGCCCGTGGCCCGTGGGGGAAAACCTTCTCAATAAATCAGCAGTCAGCCCTAGCTGGTGTGGCTCAGTGGGTAGAGTGTCAGGCCGTGGACTGAAGGGTCCTGGGTTTGATTCCAGTCAAGGGCATGTACCCCGATTGCAGGCTCGACCCCCAGCCTTGGTTGGGGCGTGTGCAGGAGGCAAACATTCGATGTGTCTCTCTCACATGGATGTTTCTCCCCCCCCCCCACCCCGCCTTCCACTCTCTCTAAAAATCAAGGGAAAAATATCCCCAGGTGAGGACTAACAAAAAAAAATAATAAGCTGGAGGTCAGGGAAATATCCAGGGAAAAAGTATCCACCCTCCACTCTCACCGCACGCCAAGTCCATCCAGGCGCACGCAGACCGAAAGGGCTTTTAAAAGAGACACCACCTCCCCGGTGACGGCGGCTGAAACTGGGGGGCCGTCCATTTGGGGGTGCGAAGAGAGTGGATGGGCAAATTCCCATCGCGAGAAAAATCACGCTGTACCCCTGAAACGAATGTCATGTCATGTGTCCATTGTATCTCAGAAATAATTAAAATCTAAATGTAAAAAAACAGCTGTGACAGGAGCCTCCAAAGTGAGGCGATCGGGTGTCCTCCGCAGCCGCAGTTCCCTCCGAGCGCCACCAGGTGGC